TGTCCCTAAGACAGCTTTCCGCACTCGATACGGGCATTATGAGTTCTTAGTGATGTTGTTCGGGATGACCAATGCCCCAACAACTTTTATGGATTTGATGAACCGGTGTTTAAGCCTTATTTGGATTCCTTCGTGATTGTCTTCATTGATGATATTTTGATCTATTCCCGCAGCCGGGAGGAGCACGAGCAGCACCTTCGAGTCGTTCTTTAGACTTTGAGGGACAGTCAGTTGTATGTTAAGTTTTCGAAGTGTGAGTTCTAGTTGAGTTCAATAGCATTCCTGGGTCACGTTGTATCAATAGAGGGTATTCAGATGGATCCTAAGAAGATTGAGGCAGTCAAGGAGTGGCCTAGACCATCATCAGCTACAGAGATCCGAAGTTTCTTGGGTTTGGCGGGTTATTACTGTCGGTTTATGGAGGGGTTTTCATCCATTGCAGCCCCGATGACCAGGTTGACCCAGAAGGGTGCCCAGTTCAGTTGGTCGGACCAGTGTGAGGCGAGCTTTCAGAAGCTCAAGACAGCTTTAACTACGGCGCCGGTGTTGGTTTTGCCCACAGGTTCAGGGCCATATACAATATATTGTGATGCATCTCGTATTGGACTTGGTACGGTGTTGATGCAGAATGGCAAGGTTATTGCATATGCTTCGCGGGAGTTGAAGATTCACGAGAAGAATTATCCAGTTTAAGATTTGGAGCTAGCAGACATTGTTTACGCGCTGAAGATTTGGAGGCATTATTTATACGATGTGTCATGTGAGGTGTTCATGAATCACAAGAGTTTGCAATACTTATTCAAGTAGAGGGAGCTAAATTTGAGGCAGAGGAGGTGGTTGGAGCTGTTGAAAGACTATGATATCACCATCTTGTATCATCCGGGGAAGGCCAATGTAGTGGCCGATGCTTTAAGTAGGAAGTCAGTCAGTATGGGCAGCCTTGCGTATATTCCGGTCGGTGAGAGGCCGCTTGCTTTGGATGTTCAGGCTTTAGCCAATCAATTCGTGAGGTTGGATGTTTCCGAGCCCAGCCGTGTCCTAGTTTGCACAGTCGCTCGTTCTTCATTATTTGAGTGTATCCGAGATCGACAGTATGATGATCCTCATTTTCTTGTCCGTAGAGACACAGTTTGGCACGGAGGTGCCAAGCAGGTTACAGTTGGAGATGATGGAGTTTTGAGGATGCAGGGTCGTGTTTGTGTGCCTAATGTGGATGGACTTCGTGAGTTGATTCTAGAGGATGCCCATAGTTCCCGTTATTCTGTTCATCCGGGTGCCGCTAAGATATATCAGGACTTGCGGCAACATTACTGGTGGATGAGGATGAAGAAAGATATTGTTGCGTATATATCTCGGTGTTTGAACTGTCAGCAGGTAAAGTACGAGCATCAGCGAACTGGTGGTTTGTTTCAGAAGATTGAGATTCCTGATTGGAAGTGGGAGCGTATCACCATGGACTTCATTGTTGGACACCCACAGACTCAGAGGAAGTTCGACGCAGTATGGGTCATTGTGGATAGGCTGACCAAGTCAGCGCATTTCATTCCTGTGGCGGTTTCCTATTCTTCGGAGCGGTTGGCTGAGATATATATCCGGGAGAATGTTCGTCTTCATGGTGTGCCCGTATCTATCATTTCTGACCGAGGTATGCAGTTTACCTCGTATTTCTGGAGGGCACAGCGTGAGTTGGGTACGCGGATCGAGTTGAGCACAACATTTCATCCTCATGCGCACGGGCAGTCCTAGCGTACTATTCAGATTTTGGAGGATATGCTCCGAGCATGTGTTATTGATTTTGGAGGTTCTTGGGATCAGTTCTTGCCATTAGCAGAGTTTGCCTACAACAACAGTTACCATCGAGCATCCAAATGGCTCCCTATGAGGCATTATATGGTAGACGGTGTCGGTCGTCGGTTGGGTGGTTTGAGCCGGGAGAGGCTCGGTTGTTAGGTACAGATTTATTTCAGGATGCCTTGGATAAGGTTAACATCATTCAGGATAGGCTTCCGTGATGTGGCATTCATTGTCGGAAAGCGAGTGTTGCTTCGGGTGTCGCCCATGAAGGGCGTGATGAGATTCGGGAAGAAGGGCAAGCTAAGACCTAGGTTCATCGGTCCTTTTGAGATTCTTGACCGAGTGGGAGAGGTGGCTTACAGACTTGCGTTGCCGCCGAGCTTATCAACTGTGCATCCAGTGTTCCATGTGTCCATGCTTCGGAAGTATCACGGTGATCCATCCCACGTGTTAGACTTCAGCACTGTCCAGTTGGACAAGGACTTGACCTATGAGGAGGAGCCGATGGCCATTTTAGACTGGCAGGTTTGTCAGTTGAGATCGAAGAAGTTCCCTTCAGTTCGTGTGCAGTGGAGAGGTCAGCCTATTGAGGCAGCGACCTGGGAGTCCGAGTCCGATATGCGGAGCCGATATCCCCATCTTTTCCCCGACTCAAGTACTTTTCTATGTCCATTCGAGGACGAACGGTTATTTTAGAGGTGGAGAATGTGATGACCCAAAAGGTCATCTCGTGTTTTAGAACCCAATCCCGGGTTCTGAGGCCTTCATGACCTCATTTTCCTTCTCCTTGATTTGCGTGCGCAGTCCGGACGCGTTTGCGAAGTAAGCAAGCCAGGCCAACCTTCTCAATTGCAAAGCCTTGGCCGCATTTGCGAACCTGGCATCGCAAATGCAATAAGTGCGACTGGGTAAATTCTAATTTAGACGGGATTTTCTTCATTTTTCAAACTCTTTCAAACCCTAAGCTCTCTTGGGCGATTTTCCAAAGAAAGATTCTTCCCCAAATCATAGGTAAACAACTTTTAACTCATTTCTTTCAATCTACATCATCTTTTTACAAGATTTCATCACAAAAACTAGGGATTTTCATGGGAATTTGGGGGTTTTTGGGTGAAAATTGAGAATTTCGAAATTTGAGGATTTAGACCTCAATTGAGGTCGGATTCCAAAACCAATTGCATATCCGGGCTTAGGGTGAATGGGTAATCGGGTTTTGGTCCGAATTTCGGATTTTGACCAAGCAGGCCCGAGGTCGATTTTTGGTTTTTGGGAAAATTGTCGGAAAAACTATAATTAAGCATTGGTGTGAGTTCTTTAGTATTTATTGATGTTATTAAACTAATTATGACTAGATACAAGTGATTTGGAGGTTAAATCTAGAGGGAAAGTAATAGTTGAGGCTTGATTTGTGGCCGTGGAATCAATGTAAGTGTTTGGTCTAACCTTAGCTTGAGGGAACAGGAGTTGTGTTTTATTTGCTAGGTGCTAGTGTTGTGTACGATGTATAGGTGTGATGACGAGTATCTAAACGTTGCTGTCAAGCATGCCCGTATTCCTAAATTGTGATCGTTGTGATTCTTAATAAGTTCTATAAATGCCTAAATTGTTGATTATCCGTGTTGAGTAAGACTTATGATCATTTTCTTGGTATTTGCCTATTGTTGAGCATTGGCTCCAGTTGAGGTTCATTTGTGAAGTTAATTGCTGGAACAAGATTTGTTATAGGTGAATCCCTTGTCGAGACGTATTTAATTCTTATTGATGATTCCCTTGCCGGGATGTATTTATTCTTACTGTTGATTCCCTTGCCGGGATATTGTTGTTACCACTGTTTGGGTGAGGAAAGAGTGATAAAGCAGGAATGGTGATGCCGTGCACATTCATACTTATGCATATTGTGAGAAAAGAGTGATAAAGCACGAAGGGTGATGTCGTGCACATTTACATTGATATTGATGCATATGGTGAGGAAGAGAGATAAAGCACGAAGGGTGATGCCGTGCACATTTCTAATATTCCTATGGTGACGATGAGTGATAAAGCACGAAGGGTGATGCCGTGCACATTTTCATTATTGATTGCATGGTGAGGATTGAGAGTAAAAGCACGAAGGGTGATGTCGTGCATTGATTGTCTGTGGATATGATTTCTTGTTGCTATTGGTTCAAGTGCCTTAATTGTTTCATTCCGTTATTTCTGTGTTCCCTTATGTTGGTATCCCCCATAGCATGTTACCCTCCCCGTTACTTTCTGATTAGCTTATATTGCTGTTACTCTGTTAGATATTGTTTAGCTGCGGGTTATGTTGTTTGTTGTGTCCTAGCCTCGTCACTACTTCACCGAGGTTAGGCTCGACACTTACTCAGTACATGGGGTCGGTTGTACTGATACTGCACTCTGCACTCTTTTGTGCAGATCCCGGTACTGGAGCATACTAGAGCATACGTACCATAGTTAGAGGTTCCTGCCTTCAGTCCAGCGGAGACCCGAGGTAGTCATGCAGGCGTCCGCAGGCCTTGGCGCCCCCTTCTATCTTGTTTCTTTCTATTCTTATCTATTTCAGAGACATACATGTATTTTCTTTGTTCAGACCCTATTTGTAGTATTCGTAGATAGTCCGTGAGATTGTGACACCAGTTCTGGGTGAAGTATTATTATTATGGGTTTCGTATTAGTATTAGTTAAACTGTTAAAATTCTATTCTTCTGCATTTCTAATTCCGCTGTTTACTTGCATTAATTTGGTAAATTCTTAAAGATAAAAGTAATAAGGTAAAAGAATCAGTAACGTTGGCTTGCCTAGCTGGTTCAATGTTAGGCGCCATCACGATCCCGACGGTGGGAAATTTGGATCGTGACACTATGGTCCAACTTAAAAGAAGCCCCAACTCCTCGTCTTCGTCTAATTTGAATCTTTGTTGTTTGGATACAACCAAATTAATTATAATAAATTGAATATAGTGAAAAAGCAGATGAATACACTTAACTGAATACAGCTGAATATCACTACTTTTGTGATTTTTTGTTGTTTGAATGTAAAATAGTTAATAATGAATACAACAGAATTGAATAGAACGTCATACATTCCATAGCAAACAATTAATAGCTAAAAAATATAATTAGCTAAATTATAGCTATGCCCAACAATAAGCCTCCAAATAATAGTCATTTATGAAAGTTCTCCTTTAGCTAACACCACTTAATAACCTATAGAAGACGTGGCCATTGATGCCACTCATAAGCAAATAATTTGAAGTGTTGTGTTCTCCACCAATATTCTCCAAAATCATGCACAAATTCTGCAATATCTGTTTCCAAGTCATAAGAAATAACCTTACCTCTTACATCCAAATAGAAAATGTGCGGAATAGCAGGATGAATAACCATGCTCTGCACCTTAATACCAATAGAGCCTACTATACCAAATTCCTTTAAACTAAGAGCGTTGACGCCAAGTCCATAAGCCTCTGGACATTGTAGAATTGTACTGACCACATTTGCCTTATAAATCCTAACCCACACTGCATCTCGACTACGAATATTGCTCTCTAGGCGCCACACAGTGATCGCTTCCCCAAGATTCAATGCAAAATATAAAGCCCCACTCGATATTCCAAGATAACAACTGCGTCTGGGCACCATCTCTTCATCATTAGGCAATTCCAAAGCCCAGAAACTCTTGTCGACACTATCATAAGCAGTGATGTGTCGTCCATTCTCAAGCCACCAGAATAATACTCCATCGATGGCGCCACAAGTTGATGACGATTTCTTATCCAATATCGGCAGCCACAGTCCAATAGGTTCAAAAATTTTAATATTAGCAGTCCACACATTAGTCTCAGAAGAGAAAGTTTCAATAGTTATAGTGGACAGAAACTCCCAAACAAGAGGCATCACATAGCGAACTATGGTAAAGGAGATGACATCTTTATTTGGGTCATCTACCTTACAAATAAATCCAACAAATGGGTCCGTCATGTCGATTTGAGTTTTTGGGAGAGCCAAACTCTGCCTCGTGGCAGGATTATAAACATAATAAACCCCTGTAAGGTCATTGCAAAGAAGAAAACCGTTGGATGATGCGACAATATACACTCTCTTCCTGCCAAGAGAATTGACTGACTCATCCAAACTACTACCATCAATATTATTCACTTCATTTGATGAGAAGAAGAAACGAATTTGGGAACGTTTAGGGGTTTCCCAAGATTGGTAAAAGAATCCAATTAGATTTGGTTGAGGTCTCCATCGCCGAAAACGGCAACTATAAGACAGAGATGAATCAGCAATGTACTTATGCCAATCCTTAGATACACAATTAAACCTTGCCAGAGATTTTGAGGGCAAACAATGCAATATGTTAATTATGATATCCTCACAAAACTCCACAACACGATTATTAGACAATCTGCGGAGACGTTTCATACTAATAATTCAAACTCAAATTTCCTAATATTGGTGTAGAACGGCCGTATAAATAGATATGAAGAAAACCTACCTTGATATGGTTAATAACTTCCAAAAATTTAGTGGGATTTGGCTTTTAACTTTTAAAGTGATGGAGTAGGATTATGTGTTCCTTTTCATGTAGTGTTATAGGTAGAAACAAGTTATGGCTATTTTTTTTTATTAAAAAGAAATATTTGGACATGTTTAAAAAGGAAATTAGAATTCTAAACCTAATTCTACAAGGAGTAGGGATGGATTACGGAAGTTAGATCGATTACAATTAATAAGATATTAATTTGCAAGATTTAGAATTACATATTTAAACGTTCATATTTGGACTCCTTAAATATGATTTTTTTTAAAGCTTTGGAGCTGGTACGGTTCATATAATTATATTTTCTGACACAAAAATCATAAAATTAACTCACACCAAAATCACAATAACCCGAAAATACAAATTTTTTAGTAGATTTTTCTTATTCCATGATTGTTTTATTGGAAATATTACGCGACACGTCAAACATATACATTATATTTACCATTCGTAGCTATACCTCAAGCAAATTTATCACTCGTAGCTATATTTAAATTTTATAGCAAATCCATAAAACAAGAGATTAATTGTTGCGAACTGAAATGAGTAACAAGTTCTCGTAGCTTAGTTGGTTAGAGCGCCTGCTTAATTAGCGAAAGTTTTGCGTTCGACTCTCAACCAAAGCATTTTATTTTTCTGTATTTCTGTATTTGAAAAAGTTGTATTCGTTGGACGAACGAATACAGTCGATACAGATTTTATCATTTGTATACACCGTTGTATTACGCATTAGATAGTGAAAGTTGTGAGAAAACAAAGTTATATGACTTTAGTGAAAAAAGAGTCATAGTTATATGATTATTTGTGAAACTTACTCGCCGCTAATATGTAACTTTTGATCACACTTGATTTTGGGGTTAATTTGAAAACTTGGATATGCTTTACCAAAAATAAACCTATTCAAGCCAAACTTAATGTACTGTCCTTGAAAATTATAGATTACCAATCCACAAGATTTAAACTTAATAGCATGATAAATTATTGATAAGATGATTCACAAAAATGGGTGGCATGAGAATCTTATTAATTACTCTCAAATGTATGGTCACATAGGAGGTGCATGCAAGTCATAGCGAGCCCAGATTTCGTCCAGGGGGCAAGAATTGCCAGAGTCAAGCCTGAGCCAAGGTTTGCCACCTCCACTCCAATGCAACAAACTAACAGGACCACCATGTATATTTCTGCAACTTCCACTCAAATTATCCCCTCCTAGTCCATGTTGGTTCCATTTTTGGTGTATTGATGATATCTTCCCTCCAAACACCAATAAAAATGGTGGCAATGAACCAAGCTCATATATTCTATGAACTCTCTGAATCTTCATCCATCTTTCTAGTTTCCTTGTGTATCTGTACTTTCTCCATTTACTCAAATCAATCACCATCACACCTGAAAAATTAATATGTTTGAATGTATAGTACTCCCGCCGTTCACTTTTACTTGTCACGTAAGTCAATTTGACTAATTTTTTAAGTTAAATTACTAGATTTTCTTAATATTTTAAAATTAAAATTTAGATATTCGGAAACTATATGACAAGTGCTATAATTTATAATTTTCTCATATCTATATGGTGAAAAAATACATGTTAAAACGTTGGTTAAAGTTTATGTAATTTGACTCTCGAAAAGCGAAACATGACAAGTAAAAGTGAAAAGAGAAAGTAGTATTTGTACAGCACCAGGTTAGATTTTCTTAATATTTTAAAATTAAAATTTAGATATTCGGAAACTATATGACAAGTACTATAATTTATAAAAAATTTCATGTCAATATGGTGAAAAAATACATGTTAAAACGTTGGTTAAAGTTTATGTAATTTGAATCTCGAAAAACGAAACATGACAAGTAAAAGTGAACGGAGGAAGTAGTATTGGTTAAGTATTCTGCAACAGCAGGAAACTATATATAGTAAGCCTAATTCCGTAAACTGAACAGTGCGGTAAATAAGTTGTTATAACATGTTAAAATATAGTGACAGTGTAAAAGTCAGTGTAGATAAGTTAAATTTGCATGATTTAATCGTTGACTCTTCCACAAATGGCTCTTTCTTCCTTAACCAAAAATAATTAGAAGCTAAAACAGAAATAACAAAGATATCCCTAGTTGTATTTTAAGTGAAGTCTATAGAGTTGATCAGTGGTTGTTGAAACATGGTAAATTAGGTGGAAGGATGGACATACATGTATATTCTTTACTATTACTATTTGCATTTTGTCAAAGTGGTACTATCCAAATTGATCATAAACAATTATTACATTAAATAAATACAAAATATCATCATACCTGTGTTGAAGTAACAAGGTCTCCGGCCACGGAATACACGAAAAAACTTCTTGTGAGACCAAAATTTAGGAGTAAAATAATTGGTGAAATTAGCATTGCAGTATTCAGGTGATCCCACAGTTCTTGATCCAAGACTTGTTTTCCACAGATTGGAAATGTCATCAACTAAAATGATATCAGAATCCAAGTATATGACTCTTTCAACACAAGGCTCTAAGAGTTCAGCTAAATAATTCCTTGCATAATTCAATGGATGTTCAAGAGCTTCCCTTATAGTAGAAGAAATCTTGTTCTGCACAATCCCTGGATTGAAATAGTATATCTTGAATGCCAATGAAGGGAAGATTTTCCCCATGTAGGGTTCAAGATTTATACTCTCTGAGGAAATGAAATGGAAGAAGAGATTTTCGGGGCAGTGAGAATGTTGAAGGATTGAATGAATTGCAGCAACCGAGCCGCGGAGAAATTTAGTGTCAAGGGTCATGGAAATATGGACTAAAGAAGGATTGCAGATTTTTGACCTAATAGAAATTGTGGGAAATATCTCACATTTGGCTGAGTTCTTGAAATGAGGTGATTGTCTATAGTTGAACAAAGGATCATGATTTGAATTTGATGATTTTGTTGCTTCTGTAGGTGGGCAAGATTGTAGAAAAGGATAGGTTAAAATGATCACAATTGAAATAGTGATCATCAAACTTGAAATTTCAGTAAAACAAGTCATTTTGTCTTCTGTATTATGATCTTCTTGGCTTCCCTTTTTAGAGTTGAATTTCATAGATAAAGCAGAAGACACAGCAACAACAACAATGACCCAGTAAAATCTCACTAGTGGGATTTGGGGAGGCTAGTGTGTACGCAGACCTTACCGCTACCCCGAGAAGTAAAAAGGCTGTTTCCGAAAGACGCTCGGCTCAAGACGAGGGAAGTAAATTGGAGTGATGATCCTTTTTGCTGCTATCCCTTCCCCACCACCAGAAAGTTGTTCTTCTACGTATCTTCTCTTCAACTTTAGTGTCTTTTCAGGTTTACCAATAAGAACAAATTGAGTGAAGGGCAGTTTAATAGGAACAGGTGTTTGGACTCTGTCTTCTACCCCAGTTATCATGTGGAAAAGAAATTAAAGTTTCACTTTTTGTTGTTGGAGGTGGGACCCTTCCTACTTACCTTGTAGGCCAATTCAAATATTTGTGTCTCTCACTACTACTAGTGACTAATTACCTTTTTTTCTTTTCCTTTTTATCCAACGGAGATTAAAGTGAATATTGGCTTAACATATACTTGGATTTCACCTAATATCCCCTTCATCTAAATTACTACACCCTTTCCAATATATCAAAGTTCAGATAAAATTGATTCATTTTTCTTGAAGTATGTATCAAATATTGGTCAAAATAACAAAGAAATACATCTTTAATGTTAGTCAAAATTAACTTGATAATCTTGGAATAAACTTTTTGAGACATATGGATTATTACTTCAAGAGAAAAAAAATGCATTGAGAATTGAAAATATTGATTGCAGTTGAACTTTTGAATTATGTAATGAGGTTTTAGAAAGAAGGGCAAGTTAAGTCCTAGGTATATCGGGTCTTTTGAGATCCTTGAGCGAGTGGGAGAGGTGGCCTACAGACTTGCGTTGTCACCAGGCTTATCAGCGGTACATTCAGTATTTCATGTGTCCATACTTCGGAAGTATCACGGTGATCCATCCCACGTGTTAGATTTCAGCATTGTCCAGTTGGACAAGGATTTGACCTACGAGGAGGAGCCAATAGCTATTCTAGATTGGCAGGTTCGTCAGTTGAGATCGAAGAGTTATTCTTCGGTTCGAGTGCAGTGGAGAGGTCAGCCTGTTGAGGCAACTACCTGGGAGTCCGAGTCCGATATGCGGAGCAGATATCCCCACCTTTTCACCAGCTCAGGTATTTTTCTATGTCTGTTCGAGGACTAACGGTTGTTTTAGAGATGAAGAATGTGATGACCCAAAAGGTCATCTTATGTTCTAGAACTCGATTCCGTATTCCGAGGCATTCACAACCTCATTTTAAACCCTCCTTGATTTGCGTACGCAGTCCGGGCGTATTTCCGGAAAGCTCTTATGTTGAAAGTTGATAAAAACAATAATTTTTGCCTTTAAAAGTTGATTTAGTTGACTTCGGTCAATGTTTTGAGTAAACGGACCCGGACTCGTATTTTGACAATTCCGGTGGGTCCGCATCGTAATATGGACCTAGGCATAGGCCCGAAATCGAATTCCAAGGTCCCTAGCTCGAGATATAAATTTTTGATGAAATTGAAAGACTGAAAATCAAATGGTTAAGAATTTGGTTAATGTTTGATCTTGTTGGTATCGGGCCCGTATTTTGGTTCTGGAGCCCGGTACAGGTCCAATATAATATTTATGCCTTATTTGTGAAATTTGGTGAGAAACGGAACTGATTTGACGTGATTCGGACGTCCGGTTGTGAAAATAAAAATTTCAAAGTGTTCTTAAGAATTTCATGTGATTTGGTGCTAAATTCGTAGTTCTAGGTGTTACTTTGGCGATTTAATCGCACCAGCAAATTCGTATGATGTTTTAAGCCTTATGTGCA